TGTTTTGACCACTTTTTCAAAATTTCAAATAAAAAAAAATCCTACTTACAAAATTGTAACATTTTTTCAAGTGAAATGCATGTCCAAACATAATTTCAAATTTTAAATACCATTTTTCAATTCAACTCTAGCTCTTTTTTTTTTTCTTTCAAAAACTATAAGTTTTATGTCCAAACTCTTATTTAATTTATTGGTCATTTTCTTGAGTAAAAGTGACACCTCTCTATATCCCACTAAAGAGGTCTTTGTAGAGACAATCGAAATGTTCTACGTAATTGCTTGCCTAATTAATTCCAACTTAAATAATGCAGCATTTGACTGACCACATAAGTAAAAATAATCGCCGAATACCTTACTACCTATTCTTTTCCTATATTACTTAATACTAACAAATAGAACGAGATTTTTTCTTACATGATCAAAAATTATCCGTAAGTGATGAACCAGTACACGCTCAGGATATATAGCACTTCAAGAGAGTGAAATTCAAGTGGCATATAAAAAAAATTATCAAAATCGCCATCGTATGATTGGCCAGAAAGTGAAGAGCAGTTTATAAGCGGCCCAACTTAGGAATCATGACCTCTCGAAGAACAGAAAAAATATACCGCGAAGACATGAAGCACTTCTTTATGGTTAAGCTTTTCAATATGCCCTAATATTAAGCTATATTTACGAAATAACTCATTTAATCGCAATATAAAGATCAAATTATTCAAAAATACAAATGCTATAAAATTAAGTAATTCTTGTATAAATAATCTTTTCACTATTAATCAATCATAGTACTTAATTTCTTCATTATTATGACAGATATGTCTCCACACGAGTTGGTCCATAGCTGTAGCTAAGGTTTAGTGTGTATGGTGAAATCGGAGGAACCCATCTCCCGCCCTGGAGGTATGTTCGGAATGTCGTGACAACACCTCGAGGCTGTGGGATCGTGATTGGGCTCCTTATCTCGAGGATCATCCGCGGTCCCGCAGTGGCTCCGAGGTTGAAGGATCTGTCCGCGGCCCAGCAAAGGTTACAAAGACGGGGGACTCCTGAGGCAAGCAGCTAGAATCAATAGGTCCTGGTGTCTTGTCTAGCCGTCTCATCCCCGTATCTTTACATTTGATGCATTCTGTATCATGCGGGGTTCCCTCGCCTATATAAGAGGAGCCCATACCATCTTGTAAAGGGCTTATGTTACTCCATTTCTCCACAAGTGTAATAATTTCTCTCACTCTTTTCTTCTAAGTGGTTCATCCTCGCAGGCTCGAGACCTCCTTCGTATATGTTATTTTCTTACTTCTTCTTCACCGTATCGTTTAATATTGGCAACATAGAGCCCTGCTTAATCATACTTCTAACTGTTATCCCATCCCCGATAGTCCGAGATCGATATCAACGCCGATCCCGAGGTCCCATCGACCATCTTCGAGCTCGGGCAACATGCCCCTTTGGTTTGATTACTGCCTCACCTTAACTCGCATTTTATCTTATACCTCATGTTCTTAGCATTAACTGCTTTAACAACTAGCTCGGGAATAGATCACGTATTTTTAGAGTCCCATTTACAAATTTAATTGTTGTTACTATTTTCACGGTAAATATTTAGCCTCTGGACCCAATGTTTAGACCTAATTTGACTCATTGACAAGGTTTACCAATGACGACATTGTGGAATTTTTAGTCGCGATATTTGGTAACGTGACTATGTAGAGTAGCCTAAATAGGGTGGTCCATTTATAATTTAATAAAAAAGGAAGATGTTAATTTTGTTTAGTACAAGTAGCTTTGCTAGTTGATCAATGTGGGAAAAACCTTTTGACAGAATACAAAAACAAACAAATTATATTGGAGAGTGGAGACTATACCAAATAATAAGATATAATTTGAATAAAGTAACATAAAAATATCTTACAAAAAATCTCATGTATTTTATATTATTGGTCTTCTACATTTTAACATGACTATTGTGGCATTGAATTTTGTCAATTATAGTCGATGATTATGTAAAGTATAGGGCAAAATATAGAGTGGTCCATTTGTAACAAAGGAAGACGTTAATTTGGTTTATACAAGTAGTTTTGGTAGTTAATTATTTGGTCCATTATTGGAAACAACGTTTGATGCAAAAAGAGGTTTTTTAAATTAAAAAAAAAAGTGCACAACTGAAGAGTGGTAGTTAAGTTGGCTAATTAAGTCCATAATAACAATCTGAACCTTAAAAGAAGCTGCCAAATATGGTATCTGAAATAAGTTCTAAAATTGTTTATTCCTTTTTTACCAATTATTTAATCTCGATAAGATATAGGAGTAATTGTATATATTAGTCCCACATTTATTTCTTGGGATCAATTCTTGCAACGGAAAACTTCGGGAGGTCTATTTGGTGTCAACGGTATTATTATGTTATAAATGCACACTATTTCATTATTTCACCAAGTTACTAAAGTATTAATTTAGAAAATAGTAGCTTCAACATAACATCTTGTTAAAAAGAAACCCGAAAAATAGGAAAATACAAACAAGTTGATCGGAGACAAGTAAGAAAATTAAATGGAGACCTAATTTCCTTTCTGTTTTTTTTTTGTTAAAATTTTATTTTCCCAGAAATATATCTACTTACTAAAATAGTAGTTTTTCTTCTCACCAATAATACAAACTACGGGGTAATATTCATTCTACTGTGGAGACGACTAAAACTCCAACAATTACGAAGTATAAGGCACTAGTAGTCCAATCACAACATAATTTGTAAAATAAGGCAATAAAGTAAAGAATGAGCGATATAAATTAATACAAGTAGTACAAAATTAAAGCTGTATTAAGAACAAAAAGTAGGGGGCTTGTGAGAGATGCAAATACTTATTTGAATGACTATGGTTCAAATATAAAAATTCTTGTTTAAAAGTGTATTTCAAGTGAAATTTTATTTCCACTTATAAATCTTAAAACCTTTTTGTCTTAATTGAAGTTCCTGTTCGAAACAGGTTCAACTCCCACAAACTTTTTTCACAATTTTAACTTTAAATACTTTTTTTTCAACTTTGATTTAGATATTCTCCGAGCAGTAGAGATAGAGGTTTAATGAGACTCGGGAAAATAATAAATTTTGTGTACACTATACTACTACAATTTTTTTTTTAATTCTAGTAGTTATTGTTGCTTTCTTTCCCCAAAAATTAACACTTTGACCGAAAAAATTGATCGGCAATACCGCCCGTAAAAATTAATCGAAATCAATCAATTTTACTGACCGATTTGAATTAATTGACCAGTATTTTTCCGACTCATCCAATTCGATCGGTTTTTGGTCAATAATCGTCCAAAAGCAATCACATTCCGTCGATTTTTTTGGTCAGAAAAGAGCTGTTTAGTAATGTAAAATTGAGGTCTTTTGTGCCACAAGTTCACAATTACCTTAGAAAAAAAAAATCAAAATGAGAATCAGCATCGTGGAAAACTTAAGGAAGCATATGATTCTCTGGAAATAATAACATGATTTCCTCTAATTAGTTACAAGAAATCCTCTCACGATAAGCCCCTCAGCCAAATCACGAGGAGATCTGTTAGTAGCTACTAATAAAACTATCTATTTTGATATTTCTAAATTTCCATTACTAGAGCAGTAGAGCTTGTTTACAACACCTTTGCCATTACGCTATCACGAAATCAATAATATGATTTCCCCCCCCCCCCCCCNTTATTTTGATGTTTCTAAATTTCCATTACTAGAGCAGTAGAGCTTGTTTACAACACCTTTGCCCATTACGCTATCACGAAATCAATAATATGATTTTTTTTCCCTCCCATTTTGGTAATAAATCTATGATTGAATCAATCTACATTCCCTCACCTTCTGCATTATGTTCATTGAATTTGTCCTTTTTATTAGTCAATCTCCAATTATGATCATTTTCTGCTGTTACGAACCAACCCTGGCCCTAAGATTTTCGACAAAATGTTACATAGCTGCTTTCCCAAAGTAATCATCGAGGCGCAATCAGATGCTCCAATCAACAATGAAGAAGCTAGAGATAGCGATACCCAATGGTTTGCTAAAAGTATTCAACGAGATTTTCTCATGACTAAACAGATTGAACAATCTGTTTTTACAGAGATTTTGCCTATGAAATATGATGGGATTTTCGAGGCAACAGAGATAAACTCTGATTCAAATGATGGCAAATTAGAGGAGGACCAGCAAGTCTGCGCGATGGTGAAGGAAAATTCAAGGCACACTGTAGTTCAGATACTTGACAAATCTCCTCATAGGAAAGGAATTGATTTTTTGGATGATATATCACCATGGATATCCACTGAAGAAGCTGCTGATATTTTTGAAACTGACGCAGATAAAATGTTTGGCAAAGTTATTCAGAGAAACGAAACCGGTACGACGCTCATCACGGAGGTTGTTAGCCACGCCAATCCGGTGCTCTCTCAAGAAATCAGTACTATTGGTGTCTAGTGAGCGTTAAATCCAATGCAAAAATTCCAATTCTTGCCATTGAATTTGATATGGGATATGGTTGCTGGAATCAATTGCTTATAGAACATCCTAAAATAATTTGCCCTCGGCATCGACTTGGGCTTGCCCAGTGCTTAGCGGAGATGTCTCATTTGCATCAGTTTTCACATGATGAATTTGGATTAGACTTTCTTTTTGATCCTGGCTCGGGTGCTATTCCTTTAATCAGGGTACAGTCACCTCAAAGGAGGTTAGAGGACCATTTTACACCCTCAAATCCAAGCAGGCAACATTTGACAAAATATGGGGGAGTTTTTAAATATATGTTGTGGTTCCAACATGATATCAATTCCCATATAGCCATTTGGTTTGACACTTGGCAGCGACCTAAGGCTAGTAAGTTCTCTCTAGCTTTCTTAGTGATTATTCTGCTGGATAGGTGTGTGTATGGAAAAGTTAGTTGGTTGGACAATGGGAGATGGATATTAGATGACATGATTTACAGGAACATGCTCACTGTGCTTGAGTCTTTTGTACTGTCTATAGTAGTTTCCATGATATGCTTCTTGAATCTATGAAGTCTGTCCAGTCAAGTAAGCTAGCACTTGCATTTACTTCTGATGATGTGAATTCCCCAACTAGAAGAGGAGCTATCAGGCCCTTGCGTTTTGCTTATGTTAGTGCTTCATATGAGCAGATCTGTAGCAATGCCACTCTTCTGCTTGGAGATGATGTGATTCTTGTTGTGCTTGTGTCCAATGTTAGAATTTTGAAAATGATTTGTGGTCGCTCCTGCAATAGAAAGTCTGCCCAACATATTAGAATTGCTTGGATACACCAGAATGGGTCAAAGTTGGAAAAGCCCTTTGCTTGTCTACTGCCTTTGACCTTGGGAACCCATATTTTGGCCACCAGGGGAGAGCTAAAGTTATATCTAAGGCTCCAAAGATCATCACAACCACTACGAATATGTTACAAGGACCGCAATCTTCCAGGATTCTTGTTGTCTAAATCCAAAGAGTGTGCTTGGGAGCAGAAAATACAGAGAGGGCTCCAGGTATTAGCTGAAAGTTACTACAAGCAATCACCGCATGTTCGAGTCGATAAAGCTGTTGGACTCTTGTTTGCTCTATTTGGTATAGTTCAGAAGGCAAGGTCTGCTTCGCCGTATATTATCTTTGATCCCGGTCCTTATCTTGATTATGCCAGATTTCCCACGCTAGCCATCTTCATATTAGCAAACAACTATAGTGACTGCATTTGCTTAGGATTCTTGCACTACATGACTTCACTTGATTTTGTTATATGGATTGTTGTGACTGTTTCTTGTGCCCGTCCTTGTCTGTTTAAAGCTCTAGATCTGCTTGCAAAGCTGAACGAGCTTTTCAATGTATACCACTTTATCATAAGCCAGGAGCATCCACATGTTTCTTCCTTGCTGCAGATCCAAGAGTTCAACAGAGCTTATGGTGAGGAGTGCACTACTTATAATGTTCTTGCCCCAAACCTTGAGGACAAGAGCCATAAGAGTAAGAGACAACATAAGGTCCTTGAATTCGTGTGTACCGTACAAGTTGTATGTGTTATTCTCGGCATGGACTTCTTTAGTACTGTCACTGCAATTCGCTCAAGCCTGAATGACCCCACTGGTGTTCAGTCACAAAGTCTATTCACTAACACGTTGTCAAGTTTGGGATTTACCTTTATTCTGACTAAGAACTTTCTAGAGGAATTTCCAAATGAGAAGTACTGGTATATTGTGGTTAATCAACCAAATTTTTACAAGCTATGGGGTGACATGGAACAAGTTGAGTCTGACTTTGAATCTGCACATTTTAAGGTCAATTGGGAGCATCTTTACTATATTTCTTTTTCGATGTTGATTTACTTTGTGGAAAGTTCACCTAGAATTGTCCATTTAGACAAATGGTTTTCCCCTTGGCAGAGACGTAAGGATATTGTGGAAATGCCTAGGCATGACAATGTACGATGGAGGGGAATATCAGATCTGTTGGATGGCAAGTATGATGATTCACTATGTGTAAATATTTGAATGAGGGTTATCATAATAAATGAGCTGCACTACAACTTAAATTCACTCAATCTTTTGTCTGTACTATGTTAGGTTGGAGTGCAATCGAGTATGGTACAAATTATGAAGTTGTTGTGGAGCTCAATCATGTCACCGATATTATTATTATAGCAGTCTCTATTCTACTGTTTATTCCAGTGTTGTTGTGGCCTATGGAGCTTTCAAAGGAAACACACGATTTTTATCATCACAACCACGTCCAATGTGAAGTAAACTTTGCCAACACACTGAACAATTTCCATTTAACCGAGTTCATGCTTTTGTGGAGGTTCGCCACTAGAATATTTGCATTGGTTCTCTCATTTAGCTTGCTGCTAATTGACTCTAACAGATGGAAATCAAGGTCATATGAATATGTATGGCAGGTCAAGTTAAGATCTCTGCTACTATCTACTAAGAGCCACAATGATCAAAGGTTTGATTGGTTCATAACAGATGCGTTATATCACATATTCTGGTCAAGTCACAAAGCATGCCTTGGTTCTGAGATAATGAGTTGGGAGCTAGCGAGTATCACCGTTCTTGACTCGAACCTTGAGGACATGGTTCTTATTGAGGACGGGAGTATTGTTATGAACCAGCTCTGGCCCAATGTCTCACAAGTAGCTATTGGGCTGAGAAGAGCTTTTGGGCCAAGAACATGTAATAGGGCCAGATTAATTTGTTATCCAGGTTGAGTATTTGACGCAAGGATAGTTCTGTTAAAAGGGGGACTGATCGGTTATTTGGGATTATGCCTATTGTGAAGAAAAGTGACTGCTTCTCCTCGTCTTCCTTCTCTGATCCTCTCCATTCTCAATAGCTTCTCATCCTTTCTTCTCTCTCCTTTGTATTTCAGTTTACTATCTCTAATTCCTGTAATAGTTTTGAGTTTAGTTATAATTTCTTGTCACTGTTGAAGTAATAGAAGTGTTGAAGGACTGGTTTGTTACATCTGCTCATTTTTTCTTTCAAATTTTCAATTAAATAGTATTTTTGTTAACTACCGACCAGAGAGAAACTCTCAAATTCTAACGATAATTTGAATAACATATATATCATAATAATTTAAAGCCAAGACTTCTTGTAGAGACCATTTCTCCAATTGTAATCTTTTCTATATCGCTCCAATTTTATCGGGTGTCCCGAATGGACAACTTCTTGGAGAGACGAAGCTATATAATTTGTTATTAATGTAAACTGTAACTTGAATGGTAAGCTAGTGAGTTTGTATACCCTTAAAACGGATAACAATTAAATTTATACTCGATTTTATGGATATGTGGATTGATTCAACACAAATAATAAAAAATGTTAGATAAACGAGTTAAATATAGAATGAATAATCAAACCAATTGTGATGTTACGGCCGGACTCGGATTTGCGCTGAACAGCAATTTTACTCTCGATTGGATCCTTGGTTTGAAGCCAAATGTATATGAAAAATACAGTAAAATAAAAACTTATCAATAGCTAGAGAGCAGAAAAATGAATTTGTATTGCCTTGGTTTGCGTGTTATACTGTGTCCTATTGAATAAAAAGCTTCCGTTTTATATAGTAAGAGAGTTTCATCCCTAGTACAATTCTAAAGAAGGTAAAAATCCTCATTTCTCGTCAATTACTGATCCGCTACCGACATCAGGCGAGATCTGCGCCGTGATATCCGGTGGGGTGCGAATATCACAGCCCTCTGTTAGGTGTGTGCAACCGTTGCCATGCTTTCCGAGGTCTCGGAGCTCATTTTGGATTCGGGGAGTGTTGTCTTATCAGGCCCGGTGGCGGGCATTTCATTCGGGCCTCGATACATGAAGTTCCCAGCTTCAATTCCGATCCCATATAGTCATATCCTTGCTTCGTTTGACCCACCGGGAAATCGGGGTGTGTGTTAGCCCTGGTTTCACCCGTATAGAGAGTTATATCAGAAAAAGGGAAATTCATATTGTGTAGCCGCCCTCTAAAATAATAGCCGTAAAATATATATCTTTTACATATTAAATATTAAGATACAAAAAATATACATATTTCATACATGATCAGTGTGTATTTTTTGAAGCAATAATTATTTTAGCCGACCAGCCAAATATATTAAAAGTGTAAAAAAAAAAAAAAAAAAAAAGTCTCATNGCTTTAGAAAATGAAGTTTCTTTAGGAAATAAAGTTTTTTTCACGTGATTTAAAAAAAAAAAAAAAAAAAACTAGTCTCATTTTATTATTTCATCCCCGATGAAACTAACATACACTAGCTAGTAACTAATACAAAGAATAAAAAGTTGGAAAAAATCACATGCATAGATTCTAGACCTCGTAACCCAATTATTAGGTTAAGACTTCATCAAAGTAAGGGTTTTTTTTTTTTTTTTTCCATTTTAAGAGGACAAGAAAAAGAGAAAAAAAAAAAGAAGGGAAATTTCCATATAAATTGTGTATAACTTTTTGAGCTGACGATAATCACGTGTGAAAGGGGCCCACAATGGTTGTAAGGTTTATCAAAAAATTCGTGCCCCTTACAAGGGTTGTAGAGCTCACTATTTATAGTTGCACCTAAAGAACAAAGTCTTAGGATCAAGTCCCATTTTAATGATAATTATGAGGGTCATTGAAGAATGTATAACAGTAGGCAGTAAGTGTCATATTCTCTATAACGAACTATGTATTTAATGCTGTAGAATATTCTCTATTAAATATTACCGGGTGGCAGATATTTATTTCGCCTTTATGAATACCCTTCTCTCCGATAATAAACGAGGTCGTTGTTTTCAGATTTGATTATCTTTTGTCTTCGGCTCTTGCACGTGTCGCTTTATCATGCGAGCATTTAATATAGAGAAATTTTCATAAAGCACCATCTTTTAGCATTAATTAGTCATCTATAGATACCATTTGCTATATTACGGATTATAAATACTTTTTTTGTGGTTATAAGATGTATTTGATGTATTTAAACTATTGTATTCATGAATACAGTAGCAAAAATAGGTGTGAATCAGGGAAGTCCAGCTAATCAGTTGTTGTATTCGACTTTATTCATGGAGTAAAACATGGGATTACAGCTGGACAAATTATTGTATTCGACTGTATTCACGACGTGAAATAGGGGATTACACTGTTTTTAAAACGGAAAGTGAATCAATTAACATAATAGACTCCTAATATAACTCAACAAACTCAATTATAACACACATCAGTTATAAAAAAAGATTCTCAACCGAAAAATACCCCAAAAACATAGCAATCTTCAGAGAAATTATATAACACATCTAAATACATAAATTATATTAATTAAAAAAAACTTATGAATACATTCATGGCATATAGCGAGATAGTGAATACAATGAAATACATAGAATACAGCGGGATACATTGAAATACAATGAAAAAAGATAATGAATACAGTGAAATACATGGAAATACAGCGAGATACATTGAAAGATATTAACAGAAAATTCAAGTTGCTCAGCCCCAAACTCCGTCGTCTCTGTTCAAGAACAACCCTAATGTCGTCTCATCGAGCTGGAGGATAAGTAGAACCAAATCAAGAACCCAAAAAAGAAAAGGTCCCTTTTTCCCTAGATTCCCTCTTTTCCTCTCAATTTCTACTCCAAAATGGAGAAAATCGCTATTTCTACTCATTTGTGCCTAGCCTTAAGCCTTTCAATTCTAATTCAAGTTCAGATATAGGGTTTTCCTTGCCTTGCCTCACTATTGTATTCCCAAATCAACGCAGAAAGATATTGGCTTGAACAGCTTCAGTTGAACAGCTTCTAAAGGTTTGAACTGCTTTAGTTGCAGATTTTAGTTCTAAAATTAAACGGGTGATGTTTTCTTGAGTTGGGACGGGACTGCTTAACACTGGTTCTGATTGAGTAGTGAGAAATGTTCGATGGATTCGGCTACTGAAACAGATTGAGAATTTATAGGCTTTGTGCATGTGGTTGAAAAGCTTAAGGTGAAAGATGAGAGAGAGAATAGAGAATAGATATGGGGTAGGGGAGGGAGAAAAATAATACAAAGCTTATATTATGGCTTAAAGATAGGAGATAACCATAAATAGATATTTGGCTATAAAAAATCAAAAGGTAGCTATGGAATATAATTTTTTAAAAGAATATTTATTTAAAATAAATAAATTATTAACCTTTGCTATAGGAAGTAAAAATTCCTTTAATATAAACATATTTTACCCTATACAAACTCCCTAACAATATATATGTCATATAATTTAAAAAGTGACCATTAATTTATGCTGAGTTGAAACCCTCTATCTTAAAATATAAATAGACTATAGGGAGTAAAAGAAGTGGTACATAGGCTGATGATTCTGTCTGATTTAAGTAGTCTAATTGCTTTCTTAATTTTCCAATCACTGCCTATTACTTATTATCTCTATTGGTGACAAAGTTAATACTAAGAGGAAGTAGGTTAGATTAGATCGATGCATAATCCTTTTCAGAATGTTTGATGACAGTTGACAAATTAAAAGAACATAACATGTTATTTTTGACAACATGTTCTTTCAACTTTTTGGCTTATCCTCTCTACTAAACCACAAAAAAATAACACCTTCGGTATCGTCACTATCTATTTACTCATCATAGATTTGCAAATATATTAAAAGGATTAACTAATTATTTAGACTCTTAATAGATCTAAAGAAAATGAGGTAAAGATTAAAATTATACGGCAAGAATGACCCTTTTTAATGATATAGTGCATGGCAAGCATGAAAAACTAATAATCAAAGTATTTAAGTTATATAATGAAGTTGTAAAGCATTTTTATAAGTTTAGTATTGTGTATCGGTTATATTACGGCAATATATGTCATCTGAAATATAAAACTTATATGTCAACTTAAATATAAAAATTATTTATTCATATTATCAATAAAATATCCAGTGTATTTTCACAAGTGGGTCTGGGGAGGGTAGTATGTACGCAGACCTGTTTCCGGAAGACCCTCGGCTCAGTAAGGCAAAATCACAGTTGTTATGACAAAGAACTATGGAAAGCGAGATAGTAGTGACTGTTAGGGATATAGTAGATATGCCCTAGATCCAATATCATATTTGATGATTTGAACATATTTTTGTGAACATTATTTGATATAACATATGTATAGCATTTGATATTCTTTTATCATTGTTATTAATTGCTTGATTAATTTGATAAGGTCCTTGATTAAATTTTGAGACTTAACATTGTGATGGAGATCATGATAATGAGAGTAAAGTTTCTTATAATTTAATCCAAATTTGTTCTTGATCGTAGGATTATTAATTTGGACATTAGTAATTCGGTTAGATCAATATTTATGTGATCGTCTATATGGGATAAAGATTAGTTGACCTCATTAACTAAATCACATAGATAGATGATGCATATAGAGATATGATCATTGAACCGACTCATTGGATAATTCCTAATGGTTAGAATTACCATAAACTGTCAATAGGATGTTCTCTTGAAAAATGTGATGTAAGAGTTTCCTTTGACCTGAGATCGTCATAGTAATTGAAAAGTTATTTATTGTGCTTTGATACTAGACACATATGGCCCTAAGGCGATAGTTGAAAGGATATTGGGTATGATTAAATACTTGTAGAATTAGTCATTGATCAAGATAGAATCTGTCAACTCTTGGTAATGAGTTTAAGCTCCATGTTGTCATGAATTATAAACGACCAAACTAAGATCTTGGCCAGGGCAATTGAATGAAAGAAGAAATGAGTTTCTTAGGTCATTCAATGGTCGATTATATTTGACATGAACACATAGTTGGTCGTCTATTAGGATTTGACAGTTAAACCATATCCTAGGGCGATCCAGAGCTATAAGGAGAGAAGGAAATACTACATTATTATTCTACTGGTTCTTGAAAGTAAATTGTATACTTCATTCTATCCCGTCGTTAAGGAATGTTGCTAGACGTCATCCTTAATTAGTATATTGATGTGATCAATTTACTACCGGCTTAGTATTGAACCTATGGGGTCGCACACTAACGAGTGCTCTGATCTTTGCTAAAGGATTAATTACTTTATTATTTGATAATTAAATTAAGGAATTTAGTTAGTCAAATAAATTTATTTATTAGTCTAATTGAAATATTATTATATTCATTGCTAGCACGGAGGATATAGCTAATATTTGTGAACAAATTGAAGTTTTCTATTTGGAATAGAAAAAATTATAACTCTTGATTGAAATATATATGTGATATATATGTGATACTCATAAATAATATTTATATACATATATATACTTATATGTATATAAGAATATGTATATACTATTAATGAAGAATCATAAATCAAATCCAAACTTGGATTTACGTAAGTCCAGAAGGACTCGTCGGCCACTAATTCCCATTGTGAATGGTATTTGGATTTTTCAATAGTAAAATATGGAAAAGTTCAGTTACTACTAATCCACCGAATTAGTGGCGGAGGCAGGATTACTGTCAAGGGTGTTCAAAAAAAGAAAAAAGTTAGAACGGTAATTGCTTGTTGGAATAGAACCAATGACCTTTCAAAGGTTTTGAACCCCCTTAACCACTAAGCTATGCTTTTGGACGGCGTCAAGGGGATTCAAAACATAATATATAGAGGTAAAAAACAAATTTTGTCTTACATATACAGCGTAATTTTTCGGCGAAGGGGATTCGGGTGAACACCCTTCCGCCCCCCTAAATCCGCCCCTGCACCGAATTTAGTTTTCCTTAATTGACTTGGGAAAGATTTGGTGATTGGCTCTATATATATATCACCTATATATCGTGGCCAAGGTTTTTTTTTTTTTTTTTTTTTTTTTTTTTTTTTTTTCAAAATTTCGGCAGAGTTTCAGAATTTTCTAAATACCTACCTACTCCTATTTTTTTTTTTTTTTTTTTTTTTTTTTTTTGATTCACAAGAAGTGCCGCACAGTCGAGAGAAATAACTTTGACAGAGGAAAATTGTTTTCTTGTCTTATTATTATTGCTTCGAAGTTTTTGAGAAAAATTTCAGCACAATTTTTCGTTCAATTTGTTTGCGGGTTTCAGTGATCAAAGAGTTGATAGCAAGGATCGGTCTCGGTGTGGATACGCATAGAGTCTTCGCACTATCGAAGAAATTTTAAAACAAGACTCTATTCACCAGGTACGTCTTAGATCCGATCTATTGACATGTAAATAAATTTTTAAAAACGAAAAGATCTGTCTAGGATTGTTATTGTCTTTCGCTGCATGTTACGAACACCTATATGCAATCCTTCAGTGACAACCAGAAAAAATAGAAAGAAAGCAAAGGAAACATCAGGTAATAAGCTAGCGTTTGGCCATAAATTTCTAAATTTATTTTGAAAAATCTGATTTGGGTGAAGTTTGGTTTGAAGATGAAAATGTGTTTGGACATCAGTTTTCAAAACATATTTCCCAAATTTATTTTGGAAAAACATGAAACATAACTTATACCTACAAGTTCTAAAAACTATCACAAATACCAAAACAGTACCATTATCAATAACACTCATTATATTATCGCAAACCATAGTCCTGAACATAAATAAATTTGGTACAAGATTATCATTTTTATAATCAACTACATAATACACTATCAGATGACCGAGAAGACGAAGCAACATTGTTACAAAATTATAAATGGTGGGCTCTTTTATAAAATACAAAAGTTTGGGGCAATTTTTAAAAAATGTAATAGTGATATTTTGGGTAAAAATTGCACAGGACGCCCTATTTGGTCGCCTCTATTTAACCTATACCCATTTTTTAAAAAGCTTTTAACTTGTACCCACTTTTTAAACAACTTAAGCCCCATTTCTCCTCCTTCTCCTCCTCAAAGTTATATCCGCCTCTTCTTTCTCGAACTTCTCCTTCTCCCTTTTCTGTAAGAAATTTGTTACGGCTATGTATATAACCTATATTCACACAAAGAAAATCCACAATTAACAACAACCATAATTTCAACTTTAAAGAAAAATTAAGAAACTTATAATTAATTACCCCTTAGTGAGAATGGATAAGCCAGCGAAAGCAACGAAAAGGAGAGTTGATATGATGGTTGACACTCCATCATCACTGGTGGAAGAAACTAATTGCTCTGTGTTTCAGCTGTAGAAACTATTTGCTGAGTGGTTGGATTTGCTTCTGATAGCAAGAAATTCCAGAAATAGCGGAAACCATAAGCCAGTTACAAAATAAAAACTTCAGCTCTAGAGCTGAAGTTTGTCAGCTACAAAACAAAAACTTCAGCTCTAGAGCTGAAGTTCGCTAGTTACAAAACAAAAACTTCAGCTCTAGAGCTGAATTTCACCAGTTACAAAAACAAAAACTTCAGATCCTAAAGCTGAAGTTCACNTTTCACCAGTTACAAAAACAAAAACTTCAGATCTAGAGCTGAAGTTCGCCAGTTACAAAACAAAAACTTCGGCTCTAGAGCTGACTTCAGGCCCAGCTACTAGAATGCTGAAGTTTTGCATGATTGCATTTGCTACTTTAGCCCCGTATGCTGAAGCTATGCAAAAAAGCGGTTACGCTTGCAATTTTTTTTGCAAAGCGGACACAAGTTAAAACGTGACATAAAAAGCGGGTATAGATGCAAATGCCCCATATTTTGACCCAAAACTAGCTATTGAGTTGGTTTTGGGATCTGAAATTTGGATTTGGACTTTGCCAAAGTGTAGGCAAAATCTACGGCCAAACATGTGTTTGCAAAGTAAAATCCAAATTTATTTTGACAAAATCTATGGTCAAACGGGTCCTAAATATCGATCTAAACACAGGGAACCGAGGGTAATACTATGGAAGAAAATACAAATTTAGTAAAAAAAGACGATCAAACTGCTTACTAACCTACTAATACATATTATCGGTGCACATCCCCTTGTCCTTTTATTACCAAAAAACACACCCCC